CTGGTCCGGGGGGGGGGGGGGGGGGGCTGGGGTGTTCCACGGTTTCCACGTGGAGGGCCCCTTGAAACAGCAGGGGTGTTGGAGTGTACTACCATCTATTTTTACCGTGTCCGCTTCGTTCTGCGGTCCAAAAAATACGAGTTAAAAGTTCGTGGTAAAGGTATGCCTCAATAGAGAAAAACCGAAGTACATGATGAAGAATCACAGAAACATTCGATAACCCGAGGCGCATGATGAGAAGAAACGCCATCTCCCAGCGTGTAGAGGTATCTCCCGAATTTTTGGGAGGGTGCGTACCAGAAAGTACCAGTACGAGCCTATAGAATTACTTCCGCTCTTGTTCAGTGCCGTATGGCAAATAAAGACAACCCCGACCCAACCGGAAATTTGAATTTTGTTTCAGGAGGTTGTGTATGTTTTGAGTCAAGTGGAAGTGAGACACCCCCGCTCCCTCCCCCAGTCGCGGTATGAGAGTGGGTGATGAGATCGAGACACAGACGGGGTACTAAACTCCGACATGAGCTTTGCCGAACTTTCGACGGGTGACTGCTGTGTGCTCTAGTTGTTGCATGTGTTCACAGCGCCAAGTGTCGGGAGTATCCAATGCTGACGCGTGTTTTCTTGCCATGGGGGGTAGGGTAGGTTAGCGGCTTCGCAACTCGAAGTGATGTTTGGAATGTACACTTATATGTAGCGTACCTTCAGGTGGTGGCGGGAAAATGGTTGTGGAAACCATAACATTTAATGGGGCGGTTGAAGGTATTGAGCAGGTGACAATCGAACAAGCACTGCTGAGGAACCCTAAATAGCAGAGTCCGCCTGGTGCAGCAAGGTAAGACATCCCGTTAGAAGCGCCTCATGTATTGGGCGATCTACATTTTCCCGCCCCGGGTGATTTTGTTCGCGGAATTGCGAGAATAAGGTCCACGATGCCCCGACGAGTGCGAGTGATGTGGGTGTGCCTGACCGTCTGTCTGTCTACTGTCTTACGTGACCCCCCTCCCCCCCCCCCGACAGCAGCCGTTCCTGACCACAACAACGCACTGAACTGCTGTTTTGTTTTTCCGACGCTGTTGAAGACCGTGTGGTCTTGGTGGTGACGCTCGTGTGTGTTCACCCCGTCTCGTGTTTGTTCACCCCGTCTCTTTTGTGTCTAATGTTACAACTCGATAGCCTCTTCTTTGTGGCAGTCGAAAAGATCTTGAAACGGTTTCACCGCCACCGATCTGACAAGCCCTGCGTTTGACCGACCGCTGTTGCTCTCGCTCGTGCTCGCTTCTCGTAGCGGTGGGGAAGAGCGCGATCCTGTTGCAGTTCACAGAGCGACAGTTCCGCGATGCGCACGACATGACAATCGGGGTCGAGTTTGGAGCCAAGGACGTGTCGATAGGAGATGCCCAGGTGAGGGCGAGGGTAGAACTTCGGATTCTCGCTGGTTTCATCTCTCAAAAGCTCTGGCTGTTCGAGCGAGGTGTTCGTGTGCGGGACGTATCCACGTTGAAGGAGGTTTTATAGCCGTAGCACCGTCTTCGTACTTCACAAAAAAGTGTTGTCGAGGAAATCTGTGTTACATATGTGTCCGGTTTTTTGCTGCTGGAGGCCTTCCTGGTCAGTAAACTCCTTGTCGCGAGTAATAGGCAAAACTCGTCTTCCATGTTCGCGAGGGAAGAGTGCGTTTCTGAACCATTCTCCCACGTTGACGTTGAAGGCAAGGCACCGGAGGAAAGAGGACAGCACTGCGCGGAAGCTCGGGCTGCGCCACCAGAGTGGTGCAACGAGTAGAGGGGCTTAAACTAGAGCGCGGATTCATAGATCAGTGCAATGGTCTGCAGCATATTGCACGTGTCGTGTGTGGTCCGATAGAGTAGCATGCATGAAAGCCTGTCCGTGATGCTCCCTACGGCATGGGCGGGGAGTGAGGGAGTGTAGCGGGGTCACAGGAGGGGGGGGGGGACGGGGGGAGGCGTGTGCATATTGGGGGATGGATTCCATGCCCGTTTGTTCTACAGCTTTTTTTGGTGTCCCTCCCGCTGTACCTGCTGCTGATACCGCGGCCGCAGCTGGTTCCTTGATGTAAGTCTTTTGAGCCAGTTGTCCGCCGCGGTCCCGGCGGTGGCACCAACGTTCGTGGTGGGTTTTCCGTGCGCAAACGTTAGGCTATCGCCGCGTGCGGAGAAATGATGATACCACTGGCCTCGGGTCTCTCCCCCCCCCCCCTCCTAACAAGAACGCCCTTGACTGGGTTTTTCTTCTGAGGCGTCGTCGGTGTCATGCCTACTTTTCAGTCGTGGTGACCCAAACCTGTTGCTCCGGCTGCGGCCCCTACGGTGTTCCTTCTGTTTCGTCAGGTTAAGCTGGAGATCTGGGATACGGCGGGACAAGAGTCATTCCTCAGCATCACGAGGTGCGGAGGACATGTAAAACAAGTGTGGCTTGGGCTGTTCTTCAGAGGGATGTGGATGGAGGGGGGTCGAGGATTAGACGACGTTGTGGATGGCAGCTTGAACGTTGCGTTGCAGCTGTCGACAGTCTTGGGTTACGACCCTCATCTAGTCGGATGTTGACCGCTTCTGACAGAGTGGCAGGCAGAATTGATGCGGTGACGCAAACGACCTGCTGAGGATCACTTGTACCACATACGTTTGGAATATGGTGTTCGGACGTTGCTATTATCACTGCTAGAGGGTGCCAGGGATACACTCAGCGAAAGCTGGTGATGCTGCTGCTGGTATTCAAGGCACTTACCCCCTGGTGTCCCACCATCCACCACTGTACGGTAGATCATACTACCGTGGGACCGACGGCTGCCTGTTGGTCTTCGACATCACCGACCGAAAATCCTTCGAGGCGCTGCCGCGGTGGCTGGATGAGGCGAGGATGAACTCGGCGAATCCGGATCTTTCCGTCATGCTTATCGCCAACAAAGCAGATCTCGCCGAAAAGTGAGCCAGTGTTGCGCTGTTTTTAGCCAGAAGTCTGGCGAGGGTGTTCAGAATTGTCGTGAGTTGGTGAGGGAGTGTTAGTGCGAGTTGGATGAGGGGAGATAGAGTCCACCCACGCCGACCCATCGCGTCTCCGTCGAGTAGGTACAAGAACATTTTATTGCTGTTCTTATGGCAGGGCAAGGATGAAAGCACACAGCAGACAGTCTGTCGTGCATTTGGCATGCGATGTCGAGGTTGTTGTCCGCTGTTGGATTTTCGGGCAATCGCGGTGCGTTCGGAGAGCTTCAGCCACGCAGCGCAACATACATTGTTGAAGGGGGATGTGGTTTTTTGCTGTTGGCTGACAGGCGGTGTTTGCCGATGAAAAGAGCGTTGTTCACTTTGTTGTTGCAAAAATTCGGTGCAGAGAATTGCTTTCTCGCCCAGAAAATCTAAGATCGGTACAAGAATATGCCCACCATCGCACGCGATGCACGTTGTTTTTGGCAGCATGAAGGAGAACCTTCAAATGCAGAATGCCACGTCTACCACCCAGATGTTTCATTCGAAGGGCATGTGGATCGCTCTGTGTATGAGCGACAGACCACATGCAGCCTGACCTCTGCTGCTAGCAAGCGAATTGGCTGTGTTTTTGTTGGACAGGCCCCTGCCGTTGACTGCCTGCGCATGATGCCCTGAGCACCTCTTGTATCCCACTTCTGTGCGATCGTTTTGCCTCGTTGTCAGACGGTGTGTCACGACGGAGGAGGGGCAGGCGTTCGCGGACAAACACGGCTTGCTGTTCATGGAGATGTCGGCCAGAAACGCAGCGCAGGTGGAACGAGCTTTCATCGGGACCGCGGAAAGGGTAAGGCGAAGGAAGGATTCTGCTACCTTGGGCGGTTGGTTGCCAAAGGCGAAGGGATATCTATCGAAAAGATCAAGGAAAGATGCTGTCTTGCATTGACGGGTTTCTCGCAATCACCCATGGCTCTGTGTTGGACCATCCTTTCCCGCGAGTGGTATGGGTATCGCACGTGACGCGACGCGACCCCGGTCGTGGTCAATCCCTGCTGTACCTCGACGGTACGAGCGCCGCGTTGCGATTTGCAGTAAGAATCATGACCTGCCACCTGTATCCCGCATCTGTCTCGTCTATCTGTCAATATACCGACGCGTGTGTCGCGCCCGTTCATTCGATACGCCCAAGCATCGGGTCCATCCTCTAGTTGTGCCATTCTCCCCCATGCATTTGCTGTTTTCCCCACGTTTCGCCTCTCTCTCCGCACATGGCTTCTTCTCCTTTGCCCCGCGATGCAGATATTCTCGGATTTAGAGGCGCATCCACGCAACAAGCCATCGGGGATCCAGCTGAAGCCGGAAGAGATGTCGGCTACGTCCAGATTCAAGGCAGAATGCTGTGAAGGGGTCTGAGCACTGCTGAGAGGTTTCTCGAAAACACCATCAAGCACCTGCCCGCCGGGTAATGTGTGGACCAAGAGTCGGTTGTTTAGGCCGGCTGAAATTTTGCGAAGGGCTCGGATTGATCGCCGTGTTGCCGTTTCGGTTTTCATCTCTCGGTGGCAGGCAGTTCTTCGGGGGGGGAGGACGCCTGTTGTATGTTGAATAGTAAATGCTTGGCAATTCCTGCAAAGGTGTTTAAGGGCCGTCGCTGGACCCAACCCCTTCACTACTGCTGTACTAGTTCTTTTTTTTTTCCAGCTCTTCCTCACTGCCTGCCTCCAGTGCACGCGGTGGTGTTGTCTGTCGGAGCTTGGTTTATTTTTTGTCGGAAATAGTCTTGAACAAAGGCCGCAACGCGGCTGTGATCCATGGTTTGGTTGCCCTGCCCAAGGTGTTATGGCATTGCTCGTGCTTTGCCCGTCTTCCGTGTTGGCTGGCGGGCACAAACCTGCTCCTTTTGTGCGGAGGGAAACGTGCCCCGACTTGGTCGGGGTGGAGAAGTCGAGCATCTCGAGGGGTGCAACCCGTAAGAGACACGTTTCCGATGTCCTGCGGCGAAATCCGCCAATTATCCCGCGATGAACGATATCGGAGACTCACTTCACCTGTGTTTGCTTGCGTGGAGGAAGATGCATGCTGCTCGTCTCACCTTTGTAAGTGCACTTGACCTGTGTATGTAGTAGTTGGAGTTGGGTTTGGACCGCGCCAGCCATGAAAGCTCTCGTTTTCGGACTGAATGGGGGCCTGTCGGTTCGACCGCATCAGTGGTGTGACGGGTTGCCCCTGCGTTCTTCCTGGTGCCATTGTTTTCATTTCCAAATATGCGTATTTTGCCCTCCTCCCGTCATGTGGGAGCAGCACTGCAGTAGTCGCGATGCCTTCGATAAGTTTTTCGTTCCTTCATCCTGCGTCTTGGCGCAGGTTTGGGTGCCCAGCATCGTGGGCTAGTTGTGGAGGTCGTGCTTCTGTGTACAATAGGACTACTTCAACAATTTTCTTGGTAGCATGTAATACGCAGCACTGCCGCTGTTGTTTGACAAAATTAGCGTCGTTTTTCTTCCTTTTGTTGGGTTACACTTGTTGCTTGCCTTTTAGTAGACGTGATGTTGTCATTTTCTCTTAACTCTGCATGTTGTCGTTGACGATCCTATACCAGTAGTGGTTGGTTGAAAGGTGAGTTTGTTGTAGTGGAGTTTAGCTTTCTGTTTTGAGTCCGTCACTGCCGCACAGCGGCAGCGGAAGGCTGGGCGTTACATATTTTCTTGATCTCATCCATGGTTTAGTGGAGGAATTTCTCTGGATTCTGGGCACGCCGCAAGTGCGTGGTGTGAGAGTCGATTTTTTTTTTTTTTTCTCAGCCCAAATTGTTACGAAGCTATGTGCTGATCGTGCATTCCGATTTGAAGCAACAACGGGCGCGTCTTTTTTTTGTCAAAGGATTTTTGCGGTTACGAGAACAGTGCGGAAGAAACCGAGTGTGGCGGATCGACCGACGCCGGTGTCGACGCCGATTCTCGATAAAGAACTGCTTTCCAGGCGAAGCCCGTCCATGTTATTGAATGTGAAATCAGAGTATTTTGAGTTTTACTTGAGGCGCCTCGGGCGTGGGGCGTTGGTGTGTCTGAAGGATGCTTTGTCAGAGTATGGAAGTGGGTTATACAGCAGTATGTGAAAACAATGGCTAGGGGGCTCGCCCGCGGTCCCCGAATGGAATTTTCCTTTCCGACTCCCACGGACCCAACCGTGTGTCGACTTTGGTGAACACAAATTGTACTCCTTGCAGGAGGGCGCCCATAGTGCCGGGTGGAGTCCGTTCCCTTCGGACTCATCATCTGATACCCCGGGTGACGTCTACATTTGCGCATGTATGTGTGCAAAACAAACAAACAAATGTGAACTTCGTTCATAACTACTGGAACGTAGGTAGTGACCTTGCAGCGTTGCCAACACAGGCCATACTTGGTGCAGAGAGAGGTTACCGTCTGTTGCGATTCCTGCTGGCGAATGTATGTGCGTACCAGTAGTACCTTGGGACACATGCTTTCTTTCGGATCATCATATGTGATGTGTGTTCCACGGGCAAGACTCGACGATGTGTGAAGTGAACGGGGGGTCCTTCACACAAACGGAGTTGCATCTATCTTGGTTGCGGACTCTCGACTCCACCGCACATACATTTGAGCTGCATCGACTCGTTACGTTCAGAAGTGGAATGAGACGGTGAAGTGGTGGACGTTTCCTGTTTTTCTTCTGTTGGATGGACAGAGGCCGACACTCATCGTATTTTCTTTGCTGTGTGAGGACATAACAATCAACTTCTTCTTTAGCCTCGATTTCTAAGGAGCATTTATTTCATGCGAGCTGCGGCATTGATGATGTCGCCTACAAGACCTGTTAAATATCGGAACATGGCTCGGGATAAAACCGCCGCGGGCGCAGTGGATCTCCACGCGCGCGCATGAAAGACCATGAAATGCAACCAAAACATCAACAACCAGCAAAAGCACCCAGTGAAGGGGCTGCGGGGCGGGGCCTTCAAACCGTGCCGACCAAGGTGAGGGCGAGGTTCGTTGTAAATTGTTATCCTCCATTCGAGGGGATTCCTGAAGCGCAAAACCCAAACTTGCCCCCCGAGTCGACACAGTTTTGTTGTACGGGTCGTGTTCGTTTGCGATATTGCCTCGAATCGCTCTTTCTCCCCAAAAGAAACGACTCGGGACAACAACGTGATCCGTTGCGATACCGTACTTCTTTGTAGAATGGAAAACAAAAAAAGTCGTGTCTAGACTACGTCTACCGTTCGTTCACGAGATCCCGTAGGTAAGGATTTTGCTGTCTACCACTCTCGGCTGAAGGCGGTCGGTTGCTATCTATATGACACGACAGCCACGTGATCCACACGTCAACAAAAACTGCCGATCTACAGCAGTAGTATACATGTGCTGTAGTCTGCACAGAGCAATAATATCGATGAACGTCACCCACCCGGGGTTGAAACAAAAAAAACGAAACGGTTGATGCAAAGCAACTACACTCTGTCTGTACATCGTAAGTGTTTCTTGTTTTTCCCGTCGGCTGATTTCGAGCGTCGGCATCGCACATCGATGGGCGCGACCCTGACAACACAACAAGCGGGCTTTCGAACCCACAAGATCACGACAGGATGGACGGACGCTCATTGCTGCAACAACGAAGGCGCAAAACCCTCGTTGGCCATTGTAGTGGGAAAGGATGAGCATGGCGCCCCCAGGTACGGAGGAGGCGGCGGAGGCGGAGGCCTGCTGACGAACTGTGACGACTGAAGACGAAGGTGATAAGCAGGTGCGGGACTGCTCTTTGTCAATTACTGTACTGGTAACAGACAAGTGGCAACAGACAACCGTCTTGAGGTTCCGAAGAGAATCCCATAGTAGTAGTCTCGGCGTGCTAAATACATGTATCTTGAGTATCTCCGTTTTTCTCACACAAAGAAAGTTATACTGCTGTGCTGCTGTAGTCTGGTGGGAGGCCTCCCTCGTGCCTGTCGAGGTCATGCTGCTGCTGTGTGCATACTGCTGTATGTAGCTGCTAATGCTACTTCCACCCTGATCCGACTGCTGTGCTAGTTAGACTAACAGTAGTGGCAGACAAATCGATGCTACAATAGTATGGCCAGGCTCTGACTCTGTGCGCAGCGCGCGCAGTAGCTTTTGGATTTGTTTGGATGCGGAAAAATCTTCGGACCCCCCCCCGCCGCTAAATTGACAGTCCCGTGTTGCCGTCGGTCCTGAATGAAGTCCCTGATTGGCTACACTGTATGTAGCACTGCTGTAGACCCTGTTGTAGTACAGGATACAGGACCGCCATACCGTCGAGCACTAGTGACGGCTGTCCGTACGTGGCAGGGCGTGGCACAAGGGTAGCGCTTGTTTTCCGCGAAAACAAGCAGGTGGCATCGCCGCGCTTGCCGAAAACCCGCAGGTTGGAGGTTGTGGGGAAAACACACACACACATGATGCACAGGCTGGGCCAAGTCATCACGGCTGCTGCTGCTACTGCTGCTGCGGTGGCAACTACAACCTCTGCGTTCGTTGTCGCCCCAGCAGCAGTACGTGATGGAACGAGGCTACGGGCTTCTCTCGATGCTCCTCGAGGATGGGCTTGTAATCATGAGACAGCGGCGGCATACAGCAACGGTTGCCTTCGGAGGTCAGGCGCGTGTGAAGGAGGAGGAGGTGGGCGCATCATGATGATGATGATGTCTGGCCCACCGCCAGGCAAAGGGAAATTCGTAAAGATGGGAGGGACAGAGGACGCGCAGAGCTTCGGGCCAAGGTGAAGCTATACACCGGGGAAGTCGGCGTGACGACGTCATGAGTTCACAGCAGTCTAGTCAAATGGTAGATAGACTACTAGAACCTCAACATTCAATTCAGATTTTTGGCTTGAAGTTCCAGCCGTCCGCGGTTGGTTGCTGCATGTGTGGTGTTCGTAACCTTTGTTTGACGTGTGATTTGCTCAGCAGAACAGGCGGGGCCGCATCTTGAATACAAGCACTTGCGGCCTTGCACCGAAGCAGCCTAGTAAGATGTTTTTTCAGCGGTTCTGTGGGACAACTATCACACAGCAGGTAGGTGTGGGGACTAAATTGACGAAAATACAGCACCTATAGAGCAGTATGTACCGTATACCGCAAGATCTTGGGAGAGAGGGGATGGATGGACTTCTGCCGGCTTTCTAAACCTTTTCGTGTAACCGTCAACCTATGTACAATACACAGGTCTCCTCGCTGACGTGAAGGCCACCAATTTGGGTGCCCACTAAAGTGCATTTGAACAAAAACGTAAAGAGTCGTATCCGAGCCGCACACTCTGACCGCTGTGCATCCATTGCTGTGGCTGTGACCAATACCGATGGCCAACCACCCTAGGGATAACTCAGGCCCTACGAAACTCCCAGAAGGACCGCGTGTAGAGCAGGAGCAACCACAAGTCATCTGTGGAGATTCGGTGGAATCCGAGCAGTGAAGTTGTGTCTTCGCTTGCTCTCGGGTATTCAGGTGTATTCTCGCAAGTGGCCTTTCCCTGGAGGAGCGCCGGGCAATACGCTCGATTCTTGACGACAAGGATCAAGACCGGGAGGACAGAACACCTTTGGTGGCGCATAACTTGGAAATAGCGGAGAAGAGGGTGGGAGACGTCCTGACTGATGCACCGATGATCGGTCTGCTTCAGGTAGCGACAAAGGGGTGTCTAATGCGGATTTTTTTGCAGCAGCACGCAATTTTGTTGCACTTCTTCGTGCAGACTGGACGCATCGCCACCCGGCAAAAAACAGGCCTCTTCCCCATGTGTCTTCCACACCAGTATTCCGGTATGCATGTGCATATGATGCTCGTGTTTCCTCATGCTTGCCGCAAGGGAGGTGTGCCCTGAAAGGTCGGCAACGATTTTGCGATTGATTGCGGATGGCATATATATGTACCCGCAAAGCCATGCTGGAAGGTGACATCGTGGTCGCCAAAAACGATATCAGTTTCAGGCAGAACCGTATGTTTTCGAGTCTCCGTGACTACTCCGTAAATCCAGCATCACTATTGTGGTCGTTACTTTCCACCCGTAATCCCTGCCGTGGTCTGTAAACGCCCAGGAGAAACAAGAAGAGGCCAGGGATGCCTCGCCAGAACCGTCTTCGCCGGTGATTCTGATCAGTGGTTTCACCAATCCAGAACTGAGAGACTTTGTCACACGGTGAGAACCAGTGTTTCCACACATCACACATTACTTTTTGGTCTGGTGCTGAGGCACATATCTGGGAGTGTCGAGTTGATTTTGCTTTCTTTAGGGTCGTGGTCGTGGTGTCGGGTTTTCCAGCTCCTCTGCCCAGTAAAAGCAGGCTACACATATTTTGGAGTTTCAGTGTTTCGTCGAAGAAGGTCCCACGTACAATTTTCCGTCGCACGTGGCAACACCCGAATTGCCGATTTCAATCCATGACGGCGGTAAGGCGTGTAGTTCGGATCAGTGTGTCTCGTATGTTTGGCCCACAGTTCACGCGCGACGATATAGTGAGTGAGGCAAATGCGTCATGTCACCACTTTTGCGTCACGCCGTCGACCACCATCGTTCATGGAAGACACATGCTGTAGGTTTTGACCCGCCTCCTTCTGTTTGCCGTTTGCTGTCACTGGGTGTTCGGGGACTGCCGCAACAGGTTTCGCAGTGAAACGGGGGTTGGCGCTGCATTTGCCAAGGCTGTCCCAAACGCCATGACGAAGTCGGTGGCTAGATTGTGCGAGGAGATTGCTCAAGATCACGCTGATGCTCTCGCGGGCAAACTGTCCGACGGCAAAGAATGAACGAACAGAGCGTGTGGCGTCGTACAAGTTGGTACCATCTTTAATTTGAAAGACTTCTGAGCGCAACACAAGTCAACCGCGAGACTTTGCGGTGGGAATGTGAACAAGAATTCCCAAAGCTCTCGCGCAGGCAATTTCATGCGGATACGCAAACATGAACGTGCCATGAGCGCTTTGGCGGGCGGAGACTGCGGGCGGATATTGACAGCACCTCCTAGGCGGTACATCGAGTCCACGAAATCAAGTTGATCCTCGTGGCTTCGCTATTGCCCATTGGGGTCTTGAATGGCCCTCCTGACGGCTTCCCTCCCAGGGCGAAACTATAGTTTTCTTAACAAACGAACAGGCAGGGCGTTCGCCGTTCATACGCGTGTCATCCCCGACGGTCCCACAGCAGTGTCATTGGCCCACGGACTAACGATCAACAAGCAAGGGGACGAACGCATCCAGTCTTGCTTGCTCGAGTAGCAGCGTCTCTCGTGCAAGAGTGAAAAGGCTGGTTTCCCAAGAGCAGGAAGTAGGGCGCGGGTGGTACGATGTGGATTGTAATATTAACGCTTGATTACGTCCCCCAAGTCCCTCGCTCTTCTATAAACATGTCCCCCCATTTATGACAGTGGTGGAAAGTAGGGCATGGTGGTGACCTGGTTGAATCCTATCCTCCCCCCGACAGCATATCGAAAGGACTTACCATCGTTTGCTCAGTCAAGCAGACGACTCTCAACGACTAATGTCGGCGTCACAATTCATCCATCGACGACGACTTTCCGGCCAGCGGCCAAGACAACCCTAATTCCAATCAAAGTGCAAATGGAGACGAAATGCGCTCGCGTCCCGGCCTTTCCCAACCTCATTCGACGCGGACGAAGTTCATTACCACTCCTTACGCACGGCGAAAGCGTTTCCACTACGTTATTGGCACAGAAGCTGGTGGTCACAAAGCAACGCCGCGTCCGACAGCATGAATCCAACCACGTCTACCCGAAGCATTCTGGGCAAAGCCCTCACGGCACCCTCAAAAACCTTGGCACGAGACCATCAGTCACCCCTCTGATGTGCTCTGGAAAGACTCAGCGGCTAGTGTATTGCCTGAATGATTTATCCATGGCTGCATGCGACAAGAAGCACCGCTTCATACAGGCCATGCACAATGAAAGTATCCACCTGTCAACGGCCCAACACGGTACTGGAAATCGCGCATGCACATCAACTCACAAGCTCACCTCTGTCATTCCCTCCTTATCCGCTTCCCCTCCAACTTCACCTTCGACACCGTCGTCTCCGCCGGGCGTCATCAAATCGACTTCTCCCATTGCAGACAAGAACGATGCGCTAGCATCCCCGATACCTCTCCCGCCGCCACTTACACCGCCACCACCGAAGACATTCCCGCCATCCGGGTCTTCGGCATCCATGGAGAACTCCATCCTATCGAACAAGCTCGTTCCCGCACTTTGGCTAGCACTCGGATCAAACAGCTCGCCTTCGTTCCCTCTGCTTTGCGTGCTGTCGCCACCCGTTCCTCCGGTCACCCCTGTGTATGAGGAAGAAAATATATCATCGTCGCCTCCATCGCCTGTACCACTGATACCATCGTTTTCAAACAGAGAGCCGCGTGTGGCGGTGGTCGTTGCAGCACCAGTGCTCGGAGCCGACACAGAGGCGGCTTCCAGCGTGGAAAAGAAGTCGTCCATCTCATCGGCTGCCCCGTCGGCGGTTGTAGCAATCGTCGCATTTGAGCTGGCACCGGTGATGCCGGTGGCCGATCCCTCCAGGGTAGTTACTGTCGCCTTCGGGCTGTTGGCACCGGCGTTTTTATCGGCCATAGACGAAGACGAGCCCTCCACGGGAGGTGACGAGTCAAACAGGCCGGAGTATCCGCCGGGTTGGACGTCGACATTCCCGTAGCCACCATCACCAGCCCCAACTCTCGACTCCGGCGGGCTGGGTTCTTCGTCTGGAAACAGCCCACTCCCAACGCCGTTGCTGCTGCCTTGTCTCGCAGACGACAATCCTCCGACCGTCGAGGAATGCGGGTCTCCACCGGGGGCACCGGACGTGTTGGCCTCATCAAAAATTCCGCCGCGACCGGTGGAAGGTTCTTCCATGCCGGCGAATAGACTTCCCCCGCCTCCTCCAATGCCGCTTCCAAAGCCTGATGGGGAACAAGTAGCGAAGGGGGACGTTAGGGGAGACGTGTGACGGGTCTTGCTCAAGCGCAACTGTCGTTGAGTCGTTCGAACGGTTCCTGCAATACTGCTCGATCTACCGTCACGCGCGGTCGGGCATGACTCAACGCACTACGTTGCATGCAAAAGAGTTCTGTCAAATAACCATCCTGGGAACATATAATAGTCAAAGATGCCATCATGACCGTTGATTGAAACATAATATTCCCAAGAAAATTCAAAGACCAGTATGCTCTACTTGTCGATATCTTGCTGGCCGTGGTGCTGAAGTTAACACTTCACAACTCTTAGTTCAAGAAATTCCCGACACCAGCGAAGGAAGTCTACGGTACGACGAAGATACGGTGGGTGTCCTTGACAAGGGTTACCCTGAGCCCCCCGCGACGACCGTCCAACACGCAGAGAGGGCTACACCCTAACACCGTTCGCACAACTCCCGCCTTCTCCTGCAGCAACCAAGTGTGCTAGCTGTTGTTGCTTCTGCCAACACGCTGGGCACGATCACTTCCAGGCTTTCCACTCACTCACCCGACGAAAGCGGGGGTGCATCTGCTTCGCTGACGGAGGAGGCTGGAGCTACCGGCTTCTCCTCCGGTTGTTCGGCAAGGCTGGTGTCGCGGGCCCTACTACCGTTGTCATCGTCATGGAAAACGGGTAGGGCTGCGCCACCAAGGCCGCCGAACAGACTATTGCCGTCGTCCTCCTCACCCTTGTTAAGGAGACAACGCATGAAATTGGGGAGATGGGGCGTGGATCCTGGGCGACGTAAAACCCTACTTGACCACGAATGAAGGGGGAACTGCCTTTCTCCACAGAAACGTTGCGCGACTCAAGCGCCATCCGCTACAGGCTACGAGGACCCATCCAATAATTAGCCCCCGACGACAGCATGCCGCATGTGGTACAAAGTTTTAGTAGCGTGGCGAGACTTGGGTGGCGATCCATGACACGAACAAATCAAAGCGCCAGAGTGCGAGGAGACTCTTTTCTCGTGCTCACCTTGTCGAAAAGCGAGCTCATAAGGACTCTCGTCTTGGCCTGCCGTTTAGCCTCAGCCTCGCGACGGGCCTTCTCGCGCACCCTGGCTTCTTCTGCCTCCCGCAGCTGTGCATTGATCAAGGTCAACAAAAAAACGAGTCAACATCATGTGCCATGGCGTGTATTGCATCAGCCAACGGAAGCGAATAATCCAAAACAAAAGAGCACGTTAGATCAACATGAAAATGACAAGGTTCAACATTAACCTGCCAAGAAAAAGCGAATAGCAACAATCATGGAGATCCGAGACCATACAACAGTATAGTGGCACATCCTCCTGAGGGACCTTTATCGTTAAATGCGTCGCCTTGGGGTTCACCTGCTGCTCCGAGGAACGATCAAGGTACGGAGTGCATCATGACGGTGGCATGTGCACCAAAATGGCAACCACGGTTCAATGTGAAGGATAATCCGGGGTATGGACAGATAGGGTTGCTAATGCGCTGAGTTATCGACATGTGAGACCCCAGGATTCAAAATTACAAATCCTTCCGACTGTTTCACGTCACATTGTTTCGAGGCGAGGAGGCTGACTGGAGCAGACCAAGCTACATCCACCGCGCCAGGTACTGCCAACTCATTTCGCCAACGTGTAACGCTTGCCAAGTCATCGCGAAATAAAAACTTCCAATAATCAACCATCGAAAGAAACACAAGCCCTCTCACTTTCCGAGCTTCCTCTTCCTCCCTGAGCTTCTTGGCTTTCGCTAGCTGCCGCTCGACCCTTGAATACACAAAACCACAATAAGAGGATACATTAGGGCAGGCGAGGAAGATCACATGACTATCAGAACATCAGCGACGGAACACACGAAACACAGGATGCTGGCGCTGTCAGCACGTCAAATACTTCCCGTTATAGTTAACCACGAACTACCAGTGAGGCGATGTAGCTCTTTTTCTTTATTGTCAACCTCAAAACCTTCACCACATAACGTGCAAACTAGGGGCCATGGGGCTACTCCAGAATTAAAATTGTCCAGCAGCATATCTCGACATTGCGGCAAACACGGATACCGCACGATCTGGAGTCATTGCGGCTTGTCACTTACGCGTCCTAGGGATATCGAACCGGCGAGCTGTGGGAACAATGCCCACCCGGCGGGAGTACTATGCCTGTTAGGATGTGATCACCACCTCAATCTTGTGGTAGCTCTGTCTGCTCTTCGCACCTCTGCAAGGATTCGGAAGGACCAACTGCAGCGGCTTATGCCGCGCCGCATTTATTGTAAACACGATTGGAGCTCTCAGCACAACAAAATGGTGAGCGATGAAACAAGAGAGAGAGAGAGAGAGAGAGAGAGAGAGAGAGAGAGAGAGAGAGAGAGAGGCCCCGTCCTACCGTTCTTTCTCTTCGCGCCGCTCCCTTTCCCTCTTGCCCCTCTGCTCCCTCTCCCTCTCCAGCCACGCCTCGGCTTCGTCATCCGCTCTCCCTCCTTCTGCTCCTGCCCCGACATCCCCGCCGACACCGTCCAGGAACGAGGGGCTGCCAGAGAACGTTCCGCCCTCTCCAGCAGACGCCGCCAAAGGTGTTTCGAAAAGTTCGGGTTGTTGCGCCTTAATGTCCTGGGCGGCTGGTGTGGATTGGCGGGTTGTCGTCGGGGTCGGCTTGGGGAAGGAAGCGGGTGCTGCTCTACCACCCTTCGAGGCTGCGATTCGTGCCTATATCCGTAGGTTTTCGCAAATATTGCGGCGCGCGCACGGGGGGGGGGGGGGGGGGAGGGGCCGGTTTCGTCGGAGATTGAGTTTTGTTGTGGTTGACGTATTTTTAGTTGCTCGCGGCGTGAGGAACGAAACATTGTGTCACACCCCCTTGTCGCTTGGGTAATGCAGGTGCCGCTGGGGTGTTGTTCGGTGCATCTTCGTCTTTTGCACGCGAGGAGTCAAAAGTGGTAGCAATTGTGACAACCCCCGGGACAAAGGCGCATGCAGAGGTGCAGCATGCGTTTGTGAAACCGAGGAACGACGTGGAGCAACACGTATTTCTCTTCGACGAAGCTACATACGCTACTGCAGAACCGAACCTGTCCAAGCCTGCTGCTGCAAGAAGCCTCGCTCGCATAAACCATAGTTTGAACGCTGTCTCAATGCGGACAGAACAGCATTACCGTTGTTGGTATCATGATCTGTTGATGTCCGGCCTGATTTTCAAGAGCGGTTTCCTGCTTTTGGCCCCTGTACGTTGAGCTGCCACTACATTCTACCTCTCGAAAGGCCCGTGTCGCTGCACACCAGGTAGCAATGTATGAGTTCAACAAGGTGTTGAAGAAAATATTCTGCGTTGTTCGCGCCAGCCGGGGGCTAAAAAGCCTCAACGTTGTTGAAAATGGGCGGCGATTGGGTCACACCTGAATTCAAGCACTCCGCGGGGAGCGGTGACTTCAACCAAGATGCGCGGTGGCTTCAACCGAAATACATCCAAGTCTCGCCAAAGCATCCACGCAAACAAGCCCACTCGAAGTGGGGTCACCGGGACTGCTGTCGCCATACATCGTCAACAACACCTTTCGGCCATCTCGCTGTGGGCGGAAGTCAAGCATGGGGATGGAGCCCCCCGAGGCCTGATCTCCGACCTCTCTTGCCGGTTCCATGTCTCGACGCACACGGTACAAATACTGAGTGGGGAGGCAGTTAAATGCCGGTGCCCGGAATAGTGTCTGTGTATTGGGGGGCACACAGACAGAACAACAGTGTCCGGTATAGTGCCAGTGAACTCTCCGGGAACATAGCGTCTAAACAGGGGCCCTCACTGTACCTGGATGCGTGCGCGGTCTTCCATGAAAGCCAGGCGTTTGGCCTCCTTTCTCGCCGCCTCCTCCTGGGAAACACCTTCGCCCTTCCCGCCTCCGCTCGCCTCGCCGGGCGTTACGGCAGATACAGCAGCTGCACCACCGACAGGCACGACTGTTGCTGCTGCTGTGGCTGGCACGGTTTTCGCTGGAGAAGCGCGTGGCTTCTACGGACGAGGGGTATCAAAACGAGGGAGCGACAGGCGGGTGGCGCGGGGCAAGTGGTCGGAGGCGGGGGACGTTATGGGCAGGGACTGGTCGCGCTGCGATTCACTCTTCGAGACAATAAGGAAAGTGCCGTGCATTTGTTATTTACACCCCGCAGTTGATGGAGGCACAACGACTGCGGTTCGGCCCAGCAACTTGCCAACGTTCTAGCCTCCGAGCTTGAGGAGAACAAGCGCGTCTGCGACCTGACATGCCACACCAAAGACAACCAGCTCCGTTCAAGCCAAATTCACAAACGCCCCGTACACCACGTCACTGCAGAATCCTTCGCACGTCCAGCACACACGGTTTTGGGTCAACCTGCTGCGGGGAGGCGTTGCGCATGAAGTGAGGCCGTGCCGGTTCCGGCTCCCCTCTCCCTTGCCACCTGAGCACGGATATGTCCATGCACAAGGGTGGTTGTCGTGAGTCGTCAAGACCGACCGCGATATTTCTACGAAGCCGTCGTGAAATTGGTAAAACACGGAAATAGCCGAGAGAAAACGAAGACCGAGATAAGTTGGCGGTCGATGACAAGAAATTGACGTGTCACGAGAGTTGCCTGCGAACGCTCCAATCATGCCCGACGGCGACAACGTAAGCCCTGGCTAACCACCTCCCTTCACTCACCAGTCGATTCAAAACAAAAGAGAGCGCCTGGGATAAACAATAAAACAAGGATATCCAAGCCCTCAGCGCACTGATGACTTCGGGATGGAATTGATTCGAACAGATGCATTCTGGAAAAAAAATTGCGCATGGAACACCGTACCGACAGGCGCCAAAATCATCGGGCGACTCACGATTCTGCCGGTACTGCGGCAAGGGAAGCGATATCCCAAGGATAAAACGCCTCTCTCTCGGAAACCCGAGCCCACCAGTGTGGCCACAACCAAACACGAGCGATCCCACAGTAGGCTACGCCATATTATTATAGCTCAACACGGGGCAAAAGCTGGCATCCTAGATACGAACACCTCGAAACGCACCTTCACCATACGAACGCAGACAAGAAAAAACGGCTGGGCTCTCACGTTGGGACACGGCCGGCGTCCTCTACCGTGGCCGGCGGAGGGGGCGGTGCCGCCTTCCCAAAGGCTGAGTAAGGCTGAGGTGCTTTCATGGCTTTGGCCCTCCCGTCCGCACCCATCCCGCCTCCCATGCCAGCGCCGATGTTTGGGTGGGTTCGAGAGTGCGGCTGCTGCTGCTGCTGCGACTTCGGCGGGACTATCGTTTGAGATTTCATTGGCTAAGACAGCGAGAGCGGGGGGGGGGAGCGACCGTTCCGCAAACAAAAAAAACGGAGGGCGCGGACCGACGTGAATGAGGATATGCCAACTGTTTCCATACTCCTTCCTTCCAGATGACAACGGCAGTTGGTCCGCTTCTCAACGACGAAGGCGGGACCTATGAGTACGTAAACAATAAACCAACAAATATCAACTCCCGCCGCGAGAAGCTAATCAAATTAGGCAAGCTGTCGCGGAGGAGCTAGGACGGGGCACGGGTATCGCAGATGGTCGGGTAAGGTGGTTCCGCACCTCGAAAGGCAATACATAGACTATAGCCCCGTGAGGCTCGGAGTCCAAGTGGAAAAGCTCGGCTATCTTGTGTAAGACGGCAACAACATCTGCCGATGTCACTTTGAGTAGCAAAATTTAATTCTGGGCGGGTGTTGAACGCTCTATCGCGGCAGCGCGGCCATACAAGCATGAAGGTGAACTCACCACTACGAGCTGCAAAAACAAAACACGAGGACTGCAAAAAAAATGGCAGGTTGCGAATCTCTTGTCACAGTCGGTGTATTCATGATGCAGCCCAGTCAGCCCCCTGCGTCTCCCTCTCTTGCGTTCTTTTCCTCCCTTTCTCCGGTACTTGCCTCGTATTTCCACTATTTCGTTTTTGTCCCCATCTCTCTCCCTCTCCCATACGCTCGTACGTTCCTTCATTTCTCTCTTTTCGTTTGCTGAGGAAAACGTAGACAACGGAAACATGCCGTGTCTCACCGCCGTAGTGGAGTCGAGCCTGACTTCGATGCGACCCAGGCGATCAAGCGCCAGAGACATCTTCCCCTCAGAATTACGGGCAGATTCTCCGAGGACCATAACCTGTGATTGGAGCTGGCGAAGCAAAAAAACAAAATCAAAATGGAAGACAGACACACACCCACAGCGGCCATCTTGCATTTCTTGCGTATGGCCCCCGGCTGGTGCTTCCAGAAAAGCATGCCAAAAGTGTAGAAAAGCATGCTGAAAAGTGTATACTGGCTAGCGCCCAAAATAGATGGGGACTAAAACACACGCACAGCACACGTTGCTTGCTGCCTGTGAAGTGGGGAAACACGACAGTCAGCCCCGTTCTCAAAATACAAACAAATCAAAGTTGCGGTACCAGCACGCATGTAGTCTTACAAACGCTTCGAGGCTGTGTCGGAGCACGACACAGCAAAGGTTAAGGTTCGGGTGGCTACTGCATGTACCGCGCGGGCGGGTAGAGACGACACACAGCGTACAACACAATTGCATGGGCAAATGCCGGTACATGGCGCTTTTGGTTGCGGTTCAGGTGTATCATCAGGGGGTGCATTGCCCCAAACAACAAACAGAGGCTGACACACACTTCCACCACACCTGTTGCACACCGTCGGCGATGCTCTTGAGAGAGTCCAGCTGTTCCTCTCTCATCGCCTGAAGCAACACCTGCGGGGCGGCCATCACGGCGTGGCGCACAGATCGCGGGGGGAAATGCAAAAAATATTTTGTTTCAATCGCGAAGATACCAGAGCGCGACCGACCGCGACTGCGCTTTTGTGTTTTCGACACCATGTTACAGGAAACTGCATTTCACAAGGTGCGCGTGTCGCTGTCTTCCCCGTGGCAGAGCACGGACGCACTACTGTAAGGATGTGAGAGGACGCACGAATCAGTGAGATCTCCCAGGAGTCTTTGATTCGGCAGCAGGACGAAAAAAAAGTACCAAGGTAAAAGGGGCCAGTCGGCTGGTGTTTTGCATTCGGATCGTTGAGTCCGACCGTGCTGGTCGATGGCCCCAAGAAAACACACTGGGAAAAGGCTCTAGGGGGTGAGTGAGATGAGATGGCCCGCAGTACTAGTTTTCGTGTAAGCGCGAGACATGCAAGTTAAGACTGGTCGAACCATGTAATTCAAACACCCATCCTGTACCCTGTTCTACCCGACCCAAAACGTTTAACGCAGGAAGAGTGCAAAAATCGTCTGAAGTTTCGCCGCCGGAGGAATCGAATAACACGCCATTTAGATACCGGAGAACCCTCCGTCGTCGATATTGACTACCACACAACGAACTCGTCCCTTGTAGAGCCACTCGAGGGAGCGTGTGTAGTAGGACGTTCGTATCAAGCGGAAGCGTGTAACGGGGTCGTTGCGCACGGGCAGTGGCACCTTGCGGGTCTTGGAATGGTACTGATGGGAACAACAGGCAACGTACACGGCCCCAGTTCACACTGTCACCCACCATCACGTCGGCGACGGGCATAGTGCCCGTATCGGCCCCACTCGTTCCGTCCTTAGCTACATCAGCGCCGAGTGCGTCCTGCACATGAAAGTCGTCTTCGGCAATCTCTGCAACCTGCGGGTGAAGGGTTCACGATTGAGCAAGCCTGTTACAATTCACGCAAGCATTCTGACTCCAAGTTGGATCGCGTCGCGTACCGTCGCACAACCGACGTCGGAAACTACTGTCCCAACACACCCAGTATGAGCTGTGGTGGGTGTGCGAGATGTGGTGCGTGCTTCATTAACTAGTACTATCGACCCGGCAATGTAACCGGTGTGCGTTGGGGCGGGCAACAGGGATGCGTGCAGGCGTAACGTACGCGCCAGGCGTGCAACCACACGACGGGAAGTGGGCGATAACGGCAAATCTTGATGGTCACATCGTGGTGTAGAGGGACGAGCGCGGCGGGAAAAGTTGTGTGTTTCACGACGCTTCCATCTGCTCTCCTTATGGTTCGAAAGTGTACATACAGTAACATTGAGGGACTACCCACTCACGACCGGAGTCAAGGGGATGTGCTGCGTCAGTACAATAGGTAGATTAGGTAAAGGTGCATTTAGTCCACCAATGAATTATTGTGTCATTCCATTTATTCCGAGCGTCCATCCTTAAACATTTCGGTACAATTCTGGACAAACCAGCCGGGGTTAAACCAGTGATTCGTGTTTTACCCCAACACCGGGTTGTTACCGACCGGTAATCCCGAAATCAGCAACACCCATTACCTACCGGTAATTACCGCGGGGATTTTCGCGAAACGTCCCCCGGGGGCTCCGCAGACGATAACGATGGGGTACCCGGGGGTTCCGCGGGGTACCTGATCCGAAAACCCGCGCTCTGAGCTGCGCAACAACTCCAATTTTCATCTCAACACTTGCCTTTTGAGGTGTCTAGCACGTGCTATCTGGTGGGCGGCCTTTCGAAAATCTGTTCTCATTATTATACGATGTTTTCGTGTCGTGCTTTCGTGCTCAAGAGAATATCGTACACAACCGAGCAGCTGCAACGCTGCAACCAAATGACTGCAAGAACGTTCCGACAGCAGCCGCACTGCCACCGAGGAATTTCAGTGCCTCCTCTCCTTGCCTCCAAAGTCCACTTCTTCTACAGCCTGTGCATCAAATTCATTTTTCTCGTTAGTTAGGCAAAAAGAATGGGGAACACGATGCACACAGAAAGAGAAGGGAGCCCATATATATCTCTGAATGTGGCTACAGTTCCACGCCGGACATCCGAGTCTGAGTCCTCAAAGCTGTCAGATCCGCCCCCGCTCTCGAAGTCATCCGATTCTACAGAGTCTGGGTCCCAGGCGATGAACGTTCTCTTCTGCTGCTGCTGTGTGTGGAGTTGAGTGTGAGGTGTGCCCCGCCGGCCTGCTGTGCGGTTGCTGTGTGACAGGGGGTCCCGCGGATGTAGCCTCCTGGGGTCATAATTTCCGCGGAAATTCCAGTTACCTACCGCCCCATTCTGTACCGGTAATTACCGGTACGGTGGTAACAAGGATCACTGGGTTATAAACTGGAGGCCACACAGGCATTGCATTCTCCGCTTTCCTTGGGGCGTGCCCTTTGGTTTCTCATGGCGAGAAGGATTCACCCGTTCCCTTCCCTGGTCGACCGTGAAGTCAATATCTTGCGTCCACGCGTCCACACGAAAGTTCGCTTTCCACAGCAGAGTTTGGGCGTGTTGGGAAAAAAAATGCCAGTTCGCCCGACTTCGCCGATATTGGAACCCACGTCTAGTGTCAGAAGGTTGAGAGGTTGTAGTACTGAACCACTCTGCCACTTGCTGTTGTGTGGCCCCATGTAGACTAGACCATGAAGAGAAGAAAAAAACAAAAAACATTGGACATAAACATTGGACATGTAGAGAGGCCCTCCGCTGCAGCCGTTGCTAGGTCGTTGACATATTTCCTATTACATATACATCTTTCCCTCCGAGGAGCACGTCGTATCGTCTGCCAAATCAGAATTCTACCGCTGTGTCGCGGAGAAAAACCATGTTGTGTGAAACGTGCTGGTGTACATACACCGGAGCGCTGCTCTGCTGTTGCATTACATCGTTACATAATCCCCAAGTTTGTATGTACAACAGCAGGACGCAGACGGCAGTTCATATTACTCCGCACACCGATTCGTTCGACATTTTCATTTCAGAGAATTGGACAACAATACCACCGGAGGAGGGGGGGAACAATACCCGGAATCCCGCGAGGGACGAGAACACAGGACGATAGATGGCTCTGTAGGCGAAGTGCGGCGCAGTCGATTGGCTGGAGGACGCTATACAGGCAACCACGACAGGGGAAAAGTGGTTCCCTCTTTCTAGGCAGTAGACTACCCTGCTAGAGTTGAACACGCATTGCAAGCTTTGCTGTAATGGTAAACGGTTCCACAACAGTCCTAACAACAGTCCTACCCAATCCCGAGCACAGGTGCTACAGCATGCCCAAGCAGGCCTCACCGCCTGGTGATGGTCTCCCTCTTGCTGCCCATCCATGCTCGCTGCTGCTGTGCGCATTCAGGTGTCTTTGGTAGAAGTGGGGTGTCCGGAAAAGAGTGCAGAGAAACGGAGATCGTCGCGGCTACACACCGAAGAAGAGCAAAGCCCTGTAGAGAGTGCTTTCAACACAGAAAGAGACGCTGTGGGGCCAACAGCAGTAGACCAAGGCACTTGCTGAGGATGTTATGCACTGACAACTCACGCCAAGCGCTCAGCAATGGGGTGGTGGTGTGTGCGAATGTGTCCTAGGAGGATCGATCGGCGGGGGCTCCGTCGCGAAATCTCCGACGTGACAGGGGGTTGCGTTGCGGCCCCCAAGGTGATGGGATGTGTCATGTGGTCATGTGGTGTTGCGCGGTATTTCCACCGTAAGGTGTGCCATGGGAACGGAAACTTTCCTTGTACCGCAGTAGCAGGTGGGACAGCGCAACTGACCCCGGAAACAGGGGGGAGGATGTCACTGCTGGCACTCTAACTCCGGTGGAGTTCCGTGATTCCGGTGGAGTGTCGTCTGTGCAATCGGCTGTAATCAGCTGTAGGTACTGCTGTGAGTGACCGTCGAGAGACATGTGCATGCCTCTCATAGACTTTATTAGTCTACTGTATGTACAATCTGCAATAATGTAACAGTGCGGCTAGACCAAGCAAAACCCGCACTCAATGTATTACCCATCTTGATTATTCCAACTGTACCAGCCAATTCCACACGCACTCACCCCCACAATATAACCCTCACTCTACTGTAGAGGGCTCCCCACTAGCCTGTGCTGTAGACTATGTTCAAATCTATCTGTCCCACCCACAGAATAACTGGCAAATTGCTGCATTGTACCGGAAGTGTAGACAATCTACAATGTAAACAAACCAATGCATCATATAATTCATTTTCCGTACTACAATTGAATAATGTACATTCTTGCTGGGCATGTATTCTTTGGTAAAAAATAACGAGATCCAAAATATGTACCATCGAGTAACAAGCATTTGTCTCCGACGCGAACCCCGAACCCCTGGAGTAGCAACTTCGACCTTGAGACGACTGAAACATCTACTTTCTACAACCAGCGTCGCAGAAGAATGATGACCGACCTGAACGTTTTCCTAAATAGACCTCTGGAAACAAGCAAGCTATGCATAGTTTCCATGGTTGTAGCGTGTCCATGCCGACCGTAAAACACCACACCTGACCCGAGTATCGCGAAGGTCGCGGTCACTACCGACTCACAAAACCGTTGTTCAGGTCTCTTTTGGAGCAAGACGCGAAGCAAACACGCCAACTTCGATGTGCGGTATTTGCACACGTAGCAAAGGCCCAACACATGACACACAGTTTCCTCAATGGAACAGATATGTAGCATCCCTCAAAACAGCACGTACAGAGGTCGCGAGCCAACAACGCCCTGCATACACCAGCGTCCCTGCACTCTTGTCGAGAGACAAGCAAACACCTGAGCAGGAAGAGAATAACGACCTCGACGGATTATACGCAAGGTCCCACGCATTTCGCAGCACGGAAAAAATCCACGCCCTGGGGAGTCGATCGACCCCTGAACACATGAACTGTAATGAAAAACATGAAGCTCTTGCGTTTCAGCCTCCAAACACCACCGATGTATGCATATGAAGCTTCCCATTTCAATAGTGGCACAAAATACGGGGCCAACGAGCGCTGAAGCCATCATCGGACAGCATTTGTCTACAATGGTAAACAGTCTGCTTCTGATAATAGTGCGCCTCAACGAAGGCCACAGCACAACAACTGCTATAGTTCGTGGTCACACGACTAAAGTATCACCTGAATGCCGCACCCCAAATGCTACTACCTAAAATAGGTGTTACACCCGCCTCCGTGCAAAGGGAGTTAAACCTTTATGATCGCTATTTCCTCACAACAGCTTACATAAAGCAGTACTCTCAAGAAGCACCCGGAAGTTCTTTACACCCTGCCTAGCGTGATAATTGCAAGGTAACCCCTGCTGTCGTTGTTTATTTACGAATGCTCCCCTAGAACATACTGACCAGCGTCGGAACACACGCTAAAAACTTCCCATTTGGGTGTAAGCACAACTTTTAGGCGCCGGGACAACCCAAAAAAAATACCTGGTAAACCCTGAATTCGGGTGTTTTCATTCCGTCGCCCTTCAGTTTCAGTAAGAATATCAAAAATGTGATATCGAGAAAACCAAACCATGTATCCATACATACGCATACATGCCGATCGCCCCGGTGGTCTGGTTGGTATCCTCGAAACCTTCTAGAGGTCAGGTCAGGGGTTCGAATCCCGGCGCAAGCGAGATTTTCTTGCAAAGTGAGTTTTTCTCTCGCTTCCGCTCCTGGCCTGGTGGATAGCGCTAGTTCGTGTGTACACAGAGGGAAGAGAGTGCTGAACTCTTCTCGCATTAAAAATCGAAGGCAAAGTACCGCAGGAGGGGAGGGTAGAGAGGGGCTCTTCTGTGTGACCACGGGTTGGAGTAAACGGCACAAGTGCTGTGAGCGCTGATTTGAAGTGAAGACTAAAAAAAAACAACAACAACAACGAATGATATGCATAGTCTTGCACCTGGCCGATACCATGGTGTATTGTAGCACACCATGAACGGCATACCCTCAATGACGTTGGTGTGCGGACGAGTCCAGAGCGAAGGCAATTCCCAGCGGGCCATCGACGCGATCTGCGGATGCATCAGCGCGAACCGTATGAGGTGAGTTCTCTGGCGGTGAAAGAATCAGTATGTGCACTTCGACTCGTGTTTATTGTTCTGTTTGCTGTGCTGTGATCGCTGCATCCCGTGCAGATGGCTATCAGCAATCGAGAGACTCTGGCATCACTCTGACATCAGCCTCCGATGTCCATTGCGGGATAGCGATAGGCTCTTGCTAAATTGCGCTGTACATACATACCACGTACACAATAAACGACACATGTGCTTGCTCCCTCTTGAGGGGACGAGAGGGGCCGCGCACTTCAACCAACAGCATACCCCACAGGCACACATATTTCCCAGATCAGATGTCGTACCCCAGGATCACAAACAGCTCTGAACAGCAGTGGATCCTGGTGGCCAAATACAGCGTACCAAAGCCAAGAAATATCCAAGAAGCTTACTGCGGCCATACCCTTGGAACAAATCGTTCCAGGCTGCAACGTCCAGTCTAACCCAAGGAATATTCAACAAAGATCCGAAAATGGACCTACATTTTGTTCGTACACATCGAAAAGAAACACAACCCGACACATTCACCAGCCGTGTGACTGAGTGGAGCTTTTGGCAGTGTGGTAGGGTGTACCGTTTCGAAAGGATGCAGCCGAACGATCCTAGCCAATGGGCTGAGGAGGAAGACAGTTCTTCCCCCGCGGTAACTTCACCATCTTGGCAAGGTACTTGTGGCTTTGTTGTTAGGAGTCGAACACTTACAGTCATCTGTTTCTCCACGGATGGCTTCCATGCCGGACATGATGCGGTTACCGTGGGCGTCCTTCGTCGGAACGAAGGTCTCCCCAAGGATACCCCGGGATGATGGGCTGAAGTCGTTGCGCTCAATACCTGCCAGTGAACATAGATGGGGTCACGGTACTGTCCATAAAATTGAATTTTGCGGGTACTCATCTCACGGATGTATAGTATTACCAGCAAAGCGTTGCAACCATTTTGCTTTGTATGTTGCTGACCCAACCGAGATACACATTCTGCTTCATGTATATACTTCACTGAAGCCGGCTTCGGTTTTCGAAGGATCAAGCTTACAGTCTCAAACGTACAGTTTCCTGGCTTTACCAAACGCTCACGCCTCGCCAAATTTCCGGGGTCGAGAGGCTGCGGAGGGAAAGGCTGGAAGCTGGGCAACTATCGCGTCATGTGACATGCACGTCAAGAAGTGGAAATTTTGGCGTGCCTCGCTGGCCACCCCTGCACCCCTGTTCTTAATTCACAGCTGTTGGTGCTCATTGAAGAAAAATCAGAGATAGAATTAACAGTACACGCATACACGCACATACCCATGTTCATCTGCCACGTCCGGTGGTCCGGGAGGTCGAAGTGATCTGTGGGATCACGCATGGCAACCTGGTGAAGACGGCCATGGGTCAGGCGGATGGTAGCTGCAGGAGTGACGATCTGGAACGAGGCGTGCTCCGACTGATGAACAAACAGTCCACCCTCGTGCATATCGGCGTCCATGACATATTCGACACATTCCTCCATGTTTGTCGCCGTGGGGTCCTTGGTTGGCGCAAGACATGCAGCAAGGAACGAGGCATCCCCGGTCGGGCAACTGGGCTCTTTGCATTGCACAGCAGCAGTTCAATAGCAAATGTAGACAGACCGGTGGTGTGGGCAACCAGGAGGATGCTTTTTCACGGGTAAATGCGAAATCGTACCTCGCGCTTACCCCAAGGATCCATTCTACCATGCTTTGCTCTGAGTCAAGGCGGCGGCCGTGCATGCGGGCGTACTCCAGCATTTTCTTCTCCCAGTACTGTTCGAAGCCGAAGGAGCGACAAGCGCCGGGAAGATTGACCGCCGACACCATCACTTCTTCGCCCAGTGCAACCGTGCCAGGTGCAAACATCTTCTCTTCTCCGTCAAGCGTTACGCTTAACGCGCCGTCCGCTAGGCAAGGTGGCCCCTCAACCGGGCACGCACTCTCCAGACTGTGCGGATCCTTCACCGATATGACAATGCTGTGCCCCTGACCCTCGCCATCTGTGGTGATGACGGAAAGTCCGGTGATGTACGTAATTTCTGGCACTGAAGCGACTGGCGCCGTCACGCGCATGCTGAGGTGCATCGATGGTAGGTCCGAGACCAAACAGTACCGACGCCTGTGAAATCGAACTTCTGGCCTCGGAATCCAGTCATGTGCGGGTCACCTGGCGGGCAGGAACAATCAGGAAATGAGACCGAGGGTGAGCAGTCGGGCGAATGGATTGCCAGAAATCTCAATTTTCTACAGTGGTACGTGACCAACCAACGGCCAACTGTTTTCTGGCATTCTTGACTTATGTAGTTGCCCAGATGCGAAGTTTGTCGATTAATGGGACAGCATTGTTTTCTCGCACATGTGCACCTCCTGGAGAGTAGCGAAGAAGTACTTGTCGAGGACGAAGGTACATTGTAGTTGTCCCGTCTCTGACGCCCATCCAAGACCGTGCCCCACCTCGAACTATGTATGATGCAAGTTACCCCCTCTAGAATATTCAAGTTCTAGCAATTATGGCCCAATCTTCACCTTTCCTTTCGTACGTCCTTCGTATCCAACAGCGTTTGATGGCCACAGTGATGCCCCCATGCCCTGCACAAGCTCTGTTGGCGTTTGAGTGGTGATGGAAGTAGCTGCACACTTTTACTGTCCATGCTCATTCCAATCGGCAACCCAGCCACAGCGACGCTTCTCTCACCGCAAGCGGCAGGACTGCCGTCTTCCGCAGGAACTACGCAGACCAGATTCTCCAGACAGCATTCCAATCCCTCAGGGCACTCGCTATCCGTGTGGCAACCTGCGTGCTCAGAAGTGGATTGGGGTAGTGGAGATTAGAGTGACCCGACCAGTCAGAGCTGAACACGTTCTGAAGGACCGTTATCCATTGCGGGGGGCTTTGGTGATCGAAAGTTGGGGACCCATCACAACGTATTTTGTCAAACAGAGGACAGCGCTCGAAGTTCCGTTAGATGGGACGTCGACGTTCTCGTCAACCAACCACAACAGAAATAGTCGCAAGGTCTCCTTCCGACGGAGCATATCTTTACAGTGAGTGGCGAATGGCGCATCACCTTGTCCGGCACACGCTTCCCTCCCCTCAATGTTACCCGCAGCTTCGCCCCCTGTGTAAAGGTACTGTCGATTGGGTGCAACAGCAATGGTTGGGTAGGTGCGTCGGAACGAACCGTGGAGTGATTTCAGGTGCTTGATTGAAGAACGTGCGGAGATTAATGAAATAGAAGGTACGTAAGAGCTACATGTAGCTCATCGCCCAAGACAGGAGGCCAACCAACTATTGTGTATCGATAGGCAATGATCACATCAGAATTTTCACCGAGGGAGATCCCTCTCTCAGACCAACTTTGCATGGCCAAAGGACACTGTTCACCCGCCCGAATGGTCGGTCTCTAAATGACCCCTTGCTCTCGACACGCGGCAGTTGGACATGCCTTAGTATCGTCAAACTACGTTGGGTTTTCGTTGCAACAGACCATCTACGAAGTCTAGTATCTTGAGCCAAAGGGGTCACCCACATCCTCTTCTGCGACACCGTGCGGAAGCGTGATGTCGTTGTCGCAAATGTCGCCTTGAGGTGCGACCGAAATCTTGACATCGAAAGCACGGCAGTTGTGTTGCCCCACACCTGAAATACACGTAAAGGCGAGCCGTTGGGACGAAATATTGATAGCTGGTGTTTTATCGCGGTCCAATGCGGGACCAGCGAATGAGATCAAGTCGAAATATACTTGTCTTCAAAGCACGAAAGAAAATCATCAAGTTGGAGATCTCTGCTGGGCAGTTGTAGAACCTACCTGCCTGTGTAGATGTAAGAACCGTTAGTGGCACCCCAGGTCACAAATCGAAACGTCGTCAGACCACCCACTTCCGTTGTTGTGGCATTTGATTCACTGCGGCTCTAGTCTTATGTACGTCGACGACGAAGACCGCAGCCGGCGACAAATCGGGCGACACCCACCGGCAGGTGGTTCATCTGTGGTAGCTACACGGTGTGACGCTGAGCGTATTTGACTTCTAACTGCCAAGTCAAGCGTTGTAACTCTAACGAAGTTCTCCGCCACGTAAAAAAGCATTCGAACTGCTCGATCATGAGATCGCTGAAAGGTTTTGCCGGGGAAAACAAAGTCTTCTGAATACTCTTGGGTGGAAATTTAGTGTCTCGAAATTACTATTCGCGTTCTGGTGTGGTGAGCATGAACCCACACCCAGGGTACGTATGTAAAAGGATGAGTTAGATGGTCAATACAGGCCAGGTATCGCATGCAGCATCCGATCATCCCTGGCATCGGGGTGCCTCTCAATATAATCTCTAAGCAACACAACAGCAACAACGACCAATACGCATGTTACGTGCCGGCACAGACCTCGTTATCTATGCCGTATACAATGCCATTCACGGTATTCCCGCCGAGAGTGACCCCTGCGCCAGCAGCATCCTTGATGTTGTTGCAAATGATGCTGCCCGAGGCCCGACTCCTAATGCCTGCCCATGCACGCGACGGTGAAGAGCAATGGTGTGGTGTTGAAAATACCAGTCTTGCCGGCTCGGTGGACGTTACCGTTTCGTTCGAGGTGTTGCACGAAACGCCGCCAAGACACACTCGCTTGCGTTGGTATGTTCACGTGACCAACTACGCGTGAAACCGTTTCTCTCGAGTCGCCGTCCAGCTGCATCTGCACGACGTTGCCATCGATAATCGTGCCAATGGCGCCTTCCTTGACGTCCACTCCCTCGCCTCCCTGCCAAGTTTGGTTAGGTTCTGGCATCAGTGCTCATCCTGGGTCCCATGTAGCAGCACAGATGACCAAAAAGTCGACTTACAGCACATCAATATGTTTGGGTGACTAAGATGCCAACGACAACCTCCTCCAAGCCCGCCCACTACAGGAATACCACTTCGAACATGCAGAATTTTCAATCATCTGGTATGTAAAATAGTTTGAATCAGGCGCGGAGAGGAGCTTCGGGCATATCATCGGCCTGCTCTTTGGCAGGATGATGAATGAAGCGGTCGTAACCGTGAACACTTGCCGGCACCAGAAGCACTCCACCAGCTCTTAAAACTGCTCTATCTTGGACTTTGCAGCCAAAGTAGGTGAGCCACTACTCGCTCAATTTCGCGCTCTTGTCGCAGTACTTCAGCTACCCGCGTGTCCTTGGCAGCTTATAATTGAGCTACCAACGAGCAACAAGGTTCCGCTCACGTTGGTCTCAATATGGTTCCCGCGGACGATGTTTCCTCCGCAAACATCAATACCGTCGTCGCCCCACTCAGAGCTCGAGGTGCCGATATACACCCCTTGTCCATTTTTTTCCCCGTCCGTTTGGTCGTCGTGAACGAAGTCCCACTGCACCATTCAGAGTGTGAGGGCCATCGCGAGAGTGTCGTGAAGATACAAGGTGCATTTAACGTTGCTCAGCTCGGAAACAAGTGCTAGTAATAGGGGGATGGACCAGAAACGGGAAAAGGCCCATTTCCAGATTCAACCGTGAGGAGACTGGCATGCTATGCCACGGTGGTGGTTGTGGGAAACGGGCGTACACAGCAACTGACAGAGCAAAAAAAACTCCACCCGATCGATCCAAGCTGTTATTCCTGGGGTTGGCGCAAAAATGCCTCGCGTACAGGCATTTTCCTTGGGTATTGGGTAGCCTTGAAGCTTCAAGAGCACGCCCTCCTGCATACGTTAACCGACTCTATCTTCAACCCAGCACCCCCCCGTCACCTTCCCGCAGTCTTGAATATCGTTGTCCTCAATAAGGCCGAAATTTACCCACCCTGTTGGTGAACGTAAGGATACAAATACACGGACGCTTGAATCGAGATTGTGGAGCGAAGTGTAGGGGGCAATCAACAACGTTGCGAGCGACGTGTATGGGGCGATCAACAACATTGCGACAACATTGCTACGAGGTAAGGCATTATGTCGCTACCTTTTAGTTGGGAAGTTGCAGTTGTTCTGGCTAGGTGATCGTTGGCGACATAACGCACGTTCAAGTACGAATATGCATTACATGACATATAGAAGGTACGGTAGGTAGCACGTTCCCACCCGTCATCTTTGGCACGTGGTTTGCGCCAAGAGCATCGAAACTCACCGCGTAGGCGAAGGCACTCCTCACCAGCCGTGCGCAGCTTCATGTTTTCTGGGGCAAGGGCAGCACAAGGTGAGAAATACTTGTGCATGAATGGGTTGTGCTATTTGATTGTGTTTGGCAATACGGACAAATTACAATGGCGGTGTATGGCATTCAGTATCGGGTAGCCTCGAGCAACTGTGCGGGGGCGGGTTTTTCCGAGGTCACGTTTTCTCCTTGCGCAGCATCATGAAAGGAGCAAATCAGTCCCCTTCACCCAAGAATCGACCGCAGCGAGAACCTACCAAAATCTACATCAATATTCCTAACTACCCTTCCAAGATCCGTCATGTCAATATACAAGCTGGAAATGTTGTGGCAGAGGTTAAGCCACGCCACATCCAAAACAATTGAGCGCTCCCACCCACTGTCCTACCGCCCACCACTTGATAGAACGTTCATTTTCGCGAGGCTCGCGTCTCATTCCCCCTCTGAGAAATCATCTGGGACGACATACACAAATGTTACTTTCGTGTAGGGTTGAGTTTGGAACATCCGAGCCTCAAGTTGTTGACCTCATTTTTCTCAATTGGTGGCTGGTTCTGTATGACGCACCACGAACGCGATTGGCGCCCTTCTCCCCGATGCCGTTCAAAGTTCGTACTGGTTGGAGTGACTACTATCAGACATGATCCTCCTGGCATCGATTGATCGTAACCCATCGACATTGTTTCGCGCCAATCAAATTGTTAAGTAGAAAATAGGGGAACTCACTAATATCCAGCCCATCCATCGCTGATTCGAAACAAGTGATCCCGAATAGTTGGGGCACGATCAGCTGAGTCACGAAGAACAAAGGAAACAAGGACGGGTGCGGCAGACGAAGGTTGGCATTCATCAGGTGCGAACGCTACCAATGATGCAGAATTTGCGAAGTACGAGAACCTGGGGGAGACACCAAGAGAAGCCGAGAGAGGGACACGGAAAAGAATAGCATTGGGTATCTAGATGAAGGCCTGTAATAAGGGGAGGCAAGTGTGAACCTCGATCGAGGTGCCACCGGGACTGGTATTACGCTTCAGGGAGGGTACGATAGCAACCTTTTGGTCCATCCCCGCGGTGAAGGCGCGTTGTAGGGAAATACGACAGACTTGATTCGTTCAAGGCCAAGGCCTCGCGTCTTTCAAGTGAATATGCAGAGCCAGGACACCTTGAGAACGGCAAGCCTCGTCCACCTTCAGGCCTCGACAAGGCGAAATCAACTCATTAGACTATTTGGTTTCATTTCGGCTCTAAAACGAGTGAACCGTACGGTCGAAACCCAGGTACTTGAGGTGGTGGGTTTCCAAGAGACCGTCGGTTGTGGACACGATGCACCTGTTTTTCATCACTCATCGTCCGGTGGTGGACACAACTGCCCCTTTCAACAGAACACGCGGTAAACACCTCATCCTGGTGCTATTGGAATACTTCCTCACCGTACGCATAGATGAGCGTGCTGTGGTAGAACTCAAAGTAGTCCGTCCCTGATGTATCCGCCACCTCGCCATCGATGGTAAACCCCTGCGGTAAGGAATGTACGTATAACGTTGGGTGCAGGCAACGTGGAGGTTGATCAGTTTGTTAAATTGCTCAGCAACACGGGGGCACACACCGACGCAGAGGTCGGAGTAAGGTTCTTGTTCTGACGAAATGCACGACGGTTTTAAAGTGCAAGTCTTAATCATTGGCGGGAGTCGACGGCAAGCAGCCTCGGCAACGACCATAATGTTTAGTAGGACAAAACCAGTATGTTGTTGTGCGATACCCTGACCGGATAGTGATTGGGATGCGACATTCGTGCAAGGCCAACAGGTTTGGAAATCGAAATTTCATTGTCGGGCACGGGCCGGGGGATAGAGAAAGCCATGGATCAAGGGAAAGCCGTGTGGCGAATTTCGTGTGCAAGATTGGCTTTAAAAATAAGCCTGGCAACCCTTCACTACGAAAGAACGGGCAACCACAACAGAACTACGGATGGCTGTACGCTGGTACCCGATCTTTGCACAAAGATGGTTACTCCATTGCATTTCCTTGGAGGAAAGGTGATTTGTCCCGGTAAGCATACTCAACGGAGAAGACGAACCGGCTTGTGATGGAATCGTTTGAACACACCTCGACTGTGTAATAATCGTGCTTGATTTCCAGAATCCTTGTTCCAGTTCCTTCGCCGAGAAGGCGGACGGAATCAACATCTTCTCCAATGATGGTGATCCTCACGCCCACCAGTCCATCAACCTGCAATAGCGACAGCATTCAAACACTACTTGGTGAGGTGTAGGAACGGTGAAAAACGTTGTGGTAGATGCAGTCCTATTAAAGAAGGTGCTGTTGTTGGTGCCGCGTGAATCCAGAGACCTTGAATGTCTCGACTACTCTCTATTTTGACACACTAGCTACGGCCTGTCGAATCGTGCACCGACAAGGCGGCTTGGAAAGCACATGGCAAGATATATGTTTTGACGGCGGAATTTCTCCGTTGGAAGCATGACGGATCCCGAGGCTTCACAACGCGCGCCAACGCGTGTCGTAATGACAGCTGGGGGCGATGGCGTTCCTCTTGAGCAACACGTGTATCCTTGGGTGGATCTTGGTGGCAAACCTGCTGCTAGAAATTGCCGTGGCTGGTTCTCCTACAGTAGTGACCGACGTAGGAGCGACTTCCGAGATCAACTTCCTTCTACTTTCGTGTGCCAAGGGCAGGCAGGTATACCAGCATTTGACGACTTTATCTTGTGAAATTGATACTCTCATCACTCACCTTCGTGTCCAGGCTTTCGTAGTAGTCTCCTGCTCCAAGAATAATTGTGTCCCCCGGCTGGGCGTCGTCGAGGGCGGTCTACAGGTTTCGATTGAAAGCAGTAGCAAAGACGTAGACGCAGTGCTCGAACATTTGTTGAGCCCAAGCAATGCCACGATGGGCAACAAACACTGGCTGATTTATTTACTGCTGCTGTTGTTCACTCTCATCAAGATACTCCGAAGTCAAGACAACCTGATCCGCCGATTCTACTGTATTTTCAACCGCTTGCGAACCTTCTACAGTATGCAGCACCGTCCGCATCAGGAGGGGCATCGATGATGGGATCCATACCGTCCACCAATTGTGTATGCCCGTGTTCTGTAGTGGTGATGCCCTCGGATTGATGTACAACCGTAGCAAGTGTACTTCTTGATCGTGGAATTTCGGCGAAAGTCTAGTGATAGTTTGGTATCGGTGTGAGACAATTACGCAACAACTAAGCGTCTAACTCGCCAAGAGGACCGGACTCTTTCCACTTCAGTTCTGTCGTGCCGCAGAGTGTGTGGTAGGGAGGTTAAAACCCTCCCTAGTGCTGGAAGCCCAAATGGGGATACTTTGGGGACACAGCACTCAAATGCCTATTTACCGCACTGTAGTCACACTAGGCTCCGCTGTGTGCAACACACGTGAGAAACTTTGGTCTATCATGCTTGGCTGACGTGGTACGTACGCTGTGTGATATGCTGTGTGATGCCTCTCCTGGGCCACATACATACTTGCTGTGCACATCTCCCAACCCGCGTGCCCCTTAGGTCGTAAAACTGTACATCGCCTGTGGTGCTGAAAAATTTGCTGACTTGGCTTCAGTGTGAAGAGTGTCCCCACGTAGTTTGGCAAAGTCACCGCCGGTTGTCCCTGTGGTCTAGATTGTATCCTCGAAACCTTCTAGAGGTCAGGTCAGGGGTTCGAATCCCGGCGTAAGCGAGATTTTCTTGCAAAGTGAGTTCTTCTCTCGCTTCTGCTCCTGGCCTAGTGGATAGCGCTAAATAGTAGTTCGTGTGTACACAGAGGCAAGAGAGTGCTGAACTCTTCTCGCAGTAAAAAATCGAAGGCAAAGCGCCGCAGAAGGGGAGAGTAGAGAGGGGCTCTTCTGTGTGCCCACGGGTTGGAGTAAACGGCACAACTAATACTAGTGCTGCTGTGAGCGCTGATTTGAAGGGTACCCGAACAAAAAGATTCTCCGACACCTACGTATGTATCCATTTTCTTATTTGGGAGGTGTTTGGGGGGGGTGGGGGGGTAACGGTAGGTACTCTAATTACTTTTGCATAGGGGGCCGCGGTGGGGAACCATTTTTTCCGTGGGGTACCCTATGCACGAGCTAGGATCCTTTCTTGCGAACCCCGAAGCCATGATCACACAAATGGGAACGTAGCACACCAAGAGAGCGCTTACTCCACTCAAACCATGCGTGTAAAATCGTCATTTGTTGTACACGACATGTCGCACATAAGCTACTTGCGTGCAGTGGGCCCCATGAGAAGCAAAAAGTCGAAAACCTTTTTTCGGCCCTCCCGGGGGGGAGGGGGGGGGGGGTACGTAGGTGTTGGAGAAACAAAATTTCGGGCACCCCCCCAAAATATATATATATATATCTGGCAAAGAGGCAAAGAACTCAAACTCTTTGGAGGGACTGTAGCCTCTCGACTAATGGCTGACAAACAAATTTGCGACATTTTTTGTTGCGGAGGGACTGGGTACAGTACTCGGAGTTAAATGCGTCTTTTTTTTGTGAGAAAACACTTCTTTTCGGGAAAACACGCGCAAGCACCTACCTGTAGCAGGGGGTAAGCAGATTCGCTTGGCGTGATCTCCTACTGTTGTAACGAACGCACCGCCCACGAAATCAAATTGGGTGTGCTTCCAATTTGAGGCATTCTGCGTCGTCAGCGCTGAAGGGATGTGCTGTGCACAGTTCCCCCCTCCTCTGTCACTTCTCCATCTTCCCCTCTGTTTCTATAAATCCCGTGATACCTCACGGTCCCCACCACTGCTCCGGAAAGACCGCCTGTCTGTGCACCAGACGGCTGAAGGATCAACACACTCCTGTGGTTGAGATAGCAAACCCTTACATACGTCAAATGAATTTTGGAAAGCCAGATGAATATTTGAACCGCGCTGCAGATGCCTGCCAGGGGTGCCGGGGCGGGGGGATACGATAGTCTCTTCTCCACTACATTACGTGCTACGGTAGGCCGCTGATTGGCTGGCACTACGCACTTTGCCCACAGCACTATTGCTAGTACCTAAACAACATACGTCGGTAGGTCCGGTCAATGACAGATTCTTCCCTTGCATACGGGATCGCTTTGAAACGAATTCGTGAAATAAATCACGTGTTCGTTCGTGAGATTGAAAACCACTGTATGTATGTATTTCGGATGTATGTAATCGTTTCATTTCCTTCGAACAACGTTAGTTTGTTTAGAGGAGGCATTTTCGAGAAACGAAAAGAACCAACCGAGCGACAAACCACACAAACGACTCGGGACCCCGTTTTTGCGTCGAACTTTTTATATCGTGGCCTCGGGCACTCTCGTCAGCAATCAATTCCGCTTGGCCGATGTACCTGTCAGACAATTGGTGTGACCAAACTGTGGGTGAGGCAGACGCTCGAGGTCGGTCGGTGAATGAAAACATATACATACATACATGGAATAGCCCCGGTGGTCTAGTTGGTATCCTCGAAATCTTCTAGAGGTCAGGTCAGGGGTTCGAATCCCGGCGTAAGCGAGCCATTCTTGCAAAGAAAGTGGGTTTTTCTCTCATCGCTTCCGCTCCTCCTGGCCTGGTGGATAGCGCTAGTTCGTGTGTACGTACGTGTGTACACAGAAGGAAGAGGAGAGAGTGCTGAACTCTTCTCGCATTAAAAATCGAAGGCAGCGTACCACACAGACAGGAGGGGAGGGCAGAGAGGGGCCCTTCTGTGTGACCACGGGTTGGAGTAAACGGCAGTACTTGTGCTGTGAGCGCTGATTTGAAGGGAAGACAAAAAAAAAAGAAAAGTCTATTGGCCATGTTCCTATATATTATTGTTGTATTTTGCCAGTTAGTTGTAGGTTGTAGGTGTGTCGTTAACGCGCTGTTTTTTCCGCAGCGAACCGTTGTTCCGATCTATCTCTGCCCAGTACCCTTTGACTTTTTTCCGCACTATTAATACTAACTAATTGGTTCCATCCAGCTGACGCGGACGCGGACGCCTTTTTGTGCTCATGGTGCTAACTTCTAATAATGCAGAGGGTACCTGCGGCCGTTTTCTCGAAAACTTGCCCAAGGTCTATTATAGAGTATCAAAATGAGTCCTCAGCAATAATAGACTATGCATTGCCTCCACGATATTATTATTAGTATTGGGTGGTGCCTCTATCACAAAAAAAAATTACCTTGTTTGAGAATACCCTTTCTCTGTTACGAGCACAAGTAGTAGCGGGAGGGGCAGTTTCAGCAGCGGCTTTCGCTTTCTGCTTCTCCTCCTTCTCCTTCTTTTTCGTCGAACGTCAATGAGAATACCTCTCTCTCTGTTACGAGCAAGGATCCCTGAAGTGGTGAATAGCCGTTCACCATCGGAGGTAAATCGCTCTCTTCTTGTAGACTAATGTGGCGAGGAAGTGCCAAGCGTAGCCGAGAGTCTCGGCTTAGTTAGCTAGTTAGAATAGTTCAAGAAAAAGGTGAATCGTGTGGGAGCGAGGAGCGCGGGGCGCTTTCGCCGCCATCTCCCCATCTCCGAGAGTCACATGAAGAGTCACGGTATTCTGTGAGTCTTTCCTGGCAAATGTCTTCGACGGTAGAACATTGTTCATGTAGACCGACGAACTTTGCCGGTCGCATGTGCATCATTGCCTAGACTTCCGGCAGTTTTTTCGAAATTTCGAACAAGACGTGGACTAACCCATTCCCTCCCTTGGTGACGCTGTAGACCGACGAACTTTGCCGGTCGCATGTGCATCATTGCCTAGACTTCCGGCAGTTTTTTCGAAATTTCGAACAAGACGTGGACTAACCCATTCCCTCCCTTGGTGACGCTATTATTTTGGACAATATGGGACGCCTCAAAACGTATGCATGCATACATGCATGCATGTGGCTTCTCTTGCCTGGTGTCTAAACGGCACGCCGTTTGTTGCGGTCCTTTTAAGTGGCATTCGTTGCGGTACCTCCAGGGACGGACGGCGGGTGAATCTGTACGATCATCAGTCAGTGTTCGTGCCGCCCCCAAACACGAGAAAAAAATCAACATCATCTCCATCGTCACCAATCAATTGGAAACCTTTCAAGCTGCTGCGCCGCCTCTCCTCTGCCTTCGGCTGTCCCCGTTATCCGCTGCAAAGTTAGTTGTCGTCTACAGTGTGGCTTCTTTTCGTCCTGTCCGTCCCGGTTGTTGTTGGCGAGAGA